CTACCACTGAGCCACACCCCCAGCCCATACTCATGGTCTTGATTAATTTTTTAAAATAAGATCCTTCCAAAAATTATTAATTTACATTAAAACAACTGTGATTTCCCTTTTCTTTCTTTTCTTTTCTTTTTTTTTTTTTTTAATTTTGGGACAGCATCTTGCTAAGTTGTCAAGGCTAGCCTTGAACTTGAAATCTTCTTGCCTTCTGCATTGCTGGGATTATATGTGTGCAATACTGTGCCCAGCTGAATCTGGAATTTCTATCAGTACCCACAGCCTCACATGTTGCTGAAATTCAGATGATTTTGGCCTACATGTATAATTAAAGAAAGACCAAATTTCAGTTAGAAGTTAATAACAATAAAGGAGTAATTTTTCTCCCACCCAGAGTTGATAGATCCTCTGACAGAGGCTCCCCAGATTCTGTTGAGATCCCTTCTTGAAACACAGAATTGAAAGGGACACTAACAATCACCTGAATGAACACTTTTGCTCCAGATGAGAAATCTGAAGCCTAGAGAGGTTACAAGACTGCATCTCCCAAAGTATCCAGAACATACTAATCCACGAATAGGCACACACTAATCTTCCCCGACTGAAATGAGTGATTTGTCAGTCACACAGCTGAGGGGTGACAAAGCTGACTTGGGCCCATGTGTCACAGCTCCTTAGAAGGCACCCCCTCCATCCCACTAAGGCAGTATGTACTCTTCTCTCTGTCTCACTGTGTGCTTCCCTCAAAAGTTCTAGAAACACCTGGTCTGGGTCTCCTGTCACCTCCAAAAAAATCTCCTCCCATGTCTTCTAGCAACAGAAGTCTCTGGTGGCACATCCCATCATCATTTCCTGTTTTCCTGTCATAAGTAAACACCGTATCTTGACATTTATAATAGATACCCATTCAGAAACCAACTACTGGTCACACAAATGTCCCCAGCTATAATCAGGTACTTAGCTTAAGGCAATCAGCTCTCAAAGACCATTTTCCCTGGGCATTTCATGGTCTCCTGCGTGATAACCACTATGACTGTAATTTCTATTCAGAAATTACCAAGTCTTCTCTGTTGATTTTTTAAATCGTCCTCATTACCCTGATGTCTCTCAGGCTCGTCCTATGCCAGGCTCCTCTCTCCCACATCACCCCAAATGCGACTGCTTTCGTTTCTTCACAAGCCCAGCACCCACATCATCCCTCCTGTATCCACACCACTCGACAGTCTATATGGAGTACCTACCCCCACACACACTTCCTAGCTTGTGTAGCCAGGCAATCCAGCCTTCTTCTCTGCAAATGAATGACTGCTCTAGACACTCCCATCTTAAAGTTTTCTTCTTCATGTCCCTAAACAGACAGCTTTTTTCATCACTGCCCCAGCACACKGCAGGCATCCTCTTCCTTCATCCTGGATGCTGATCTGCAGACTTGCACACAAGTCAGCTCGGATCACTCTCAGCCAGAGCTCACGCACCTTCAGACTCAGAGCACCCCCGCCCATCCCACTCAGGGCAGAGCTTTGTTCTTCCTTCCATCCAGATCTCACTGCTCTCTTCTCTCCTCCGTTCCTGCTGCGTTGAGGACTCAGTCTCCACCCCAGCCCACAGCTCCTTCCCTGGCAGTTTCACCTAACTTTGCTCTTAGAGATCTCTAGGTGTGTTATGTTGAATATGGACACCCCCGGCCACATGCAGCTACCCGACACCTGAAACACCACTGGTCCAGACTGAGATGTACTGGGAGTCTGAAATACACACTGGATCTCGAGGACTTAGTATGAAAAGAAGATATAAAATATCTCACGTTAATGCTTATATGCTTAATGCTGAAATTATTTTGGACATATTGGGTTAAATAAGATGCATTTTTAAAACTAAATTTTCCTGTTTATCTTTTTAACATGACTAATAAAAACCTTTAAATTATATATATAGCTTCTACTAGTCAGCACTATTTTGGGCTCTTCATATTTTGTTATTTTCCTTTTCAGTGCTGGGATGGAACTCAGGGCCTCAGGCATGCTAAGCAAAGCTCTCTACCCTCAAGCTATACCCCAGCCCTACCGACTCATACTTTAATCTTCCCTGTCAGTTCAAAATTCTCTCCACTTTATCATTCGACTAAAAGATTTGCTCCCATTAGCCCACTGCTTCCCATGTGCCAAACCTAGAATTCTATTCAATCAACCATTCTCAATATCTTTCCACCCCGTGTTTCTATGTACCTGTTAAGAGAGCTTCCACCTCTGCAATCAAATCATAATGAAGTTCTGTTTTTTCCTTCATCAGTTCTTATAGAGAGTGGTGTCTGTCCTAACTCTCAGCTAACTTTAAAAAAAAAAAATAGTCCCTGTAACTCCCAAAGAAAAGAACTTCACTCATTCTCCAAACTGGCCTGTTGTCACTATAAGTTCACTTAAAGGGGCTGGTAATAGTAAAATGTTAAACAAATATAAATTAATAATAATTGCAGCCCAATGCCACCATGCCCCACCAGGAGAGCAGTTACTCCTCTGTCACTTTAAAGAGTGTGTTCTTTCCCCAGACTCTTCTGCTCTGGAGGTTTCAATCCCATTATTCCCAGCAGAGAACTATCTTATTTCATCCCAAATACTCCAGCATAATCCCAAACTGGAGGGTTGGTTTTCCCACCATTTCAATGTGKGCCATGTACTGTCACTCCCCAGATGGATTTTATGCCTAATATTTCTGGAACTGCATTCTCTTTTTGCAGCCATCTCAGGGGAAACCCACAACTGGGGAAGTGGGTGTGAGTGGATGTTTCTTCTGAAACCGGCTTCCTTGCTGCCCAGCCGGCACCTACCACGACCCACGGTGTATCTTTCTAGGCTAAGGCAGGACTCTCAAAACCCTTCCCCTGCAAGGTCTCTCTGCCACCATGTTTAATAACAGAGCCCCTGGCCCACATTCCAAGAACAACACATGGATTTCTTTTTATTTCCAACATTTTCCTAGGATGATGATCTCCCTTTCATCATTTCTATGTAAATTCTGGTTTCCCATCACTCCAGTATTGAAAACCCTTTAAGGAAAATTACTCATAGTGTTCAAACCTTGCCCACTATTTTTTTTTTTTCTAAGCACTCTCCACTCCTCCCAGGACAGGACTCTTCTGCACACATGCACACACACTTTTGGTCTGATGGAATTGTTTGCTTTCCATCTAGCCCTATACAGAGACCCTCTGCTGACAGCCCTCTCATTTCATCATCTCTTTTGATGTCCAAGACTCAGCTCATTTCTTCCTCCTGTCCTCTATTCTTCCCTCCTCAGTATTTCTCTTTCGTTTCCCCCTTCTGCTTATTCCTGTCTATCAATACCTTGTTTGTAGCCAATATTCAATCTACGCCAAGAAAGCCCCCATTATACAAAATGGTTAAAAGAAGAACCGAGGAGACCTAAGACTGGACGAGCTACTTGTTCTTCTCAGGCTGGACATATTCCTCTGAGGTCGGCTCTACCTGGGCTCTCCCTCCGGCTCATCTCTTTCCTAGGTGTGTCTGCTCTGCCTCCAGATTCTGTTGTCTCCACAGCCATCTCTTTTATGACCTGTCCTCTGGTCTTTTCTGCCTTAGGATCATCCTATTCTAAGAATCCTGCTAATCCTTCCTTCTTTAGATCACCTGCTGGCTTCTACAGAACCCCCACCCTCTTATCTTGCAGACATTTCCTCTCATCTCCAGGTGTGTTCTGTCTTCTCCCTATGGGCCTTCTTGGGAGATGCTGCTCTGACTTCCTGGTATCCTCTTGGTCTAGCCAGGTATGAAAAAAGAAAACAACAGTTGAATCCTCAAAGCCCAAATGCCCAGAACCAAGAGGTAAGAGGAGGGGAAGACAGGCTCTGTGGCAGTCCTCGGAGTCTGGAGGAGTGATTAGCCCTTTGGATAAATTCAGGGAGACCCAAGAATTGCCTTTCTTGGMCAAGGATGCCTGTCTCCACTAGAGTCAGCCTCCAGGAATTCTGGGGTCCTCCCTACCTGCTAAGCTGGACACAGTGAATGTTTGAGCAAAAGCAGATTCATCTGTGCTAAGGAAGTTTAGCTTCACAGTCCTACACCTACCTGTATGTTAACCTTATTTTTCTTAAATAGGGTCCACCAAATTATATAAGCATCAGATCTCAGAACACCTGCATCTACCTGGATAGGAGAAAGCTTTTGTGGCTCCTAGGGGTTAAGGACCCCTAGCAAGGACAAGAGGGTTTCTAAGTGAACTGATTTTAAGTAGGGTTCCATTTCATATACTGTCTCTGCAGGGCATCCTCCCATGGAGGATCCAGGGCTCTTAGCAGCATTTCAGCCAGATTCTCAACTATGGGTCTTCAGGCCACACCCAACTCAGCCCAGCCTGTAGCCTCTTCTCCTCCCATCAGCTGCCSGTATCCCTCTACCTGGTTTCTCAAGACTGAATTCTAAACCTGTGGGTTCAGAATTGACCTCTAGGCTAAGCAACAGACACCGCTGAGATCCTCCCTCTGAACCTGCAGCCGCACAGTTCATGCTGGCCATTTGTACTGGAGGTCAAACAGTCCTCTCCTCGAAAGCCAGAACAGTCCTTCTTACCAAACCGACAGCTTCCGAACATGCCCTCATCCTGGGGCCCTGCTGGTGTCCCCAGGAATCCCACCCTTGTAGCTTCTCTACTCCTGGTAGAAGAGAGAAAAGAAGGAATTCTAAGAAGGCGACAGGGCGAGGCCGGAGGCTAGAATGCTGGGAGGAAAGACACTAATTTGGAAGAGAGTGCTGGAAGTCTTTGGTGAGGCTTCCAGCAGTCTGGGGACAGGCAGAGCAGTAGGATGGGTCTGGGGACCTAGAGATCCTGTGCTTGGAACTGTATGGGAGTCGTTTCCGCAGATTCCGCGTGCGATCTGGGGGTCTGGAGCTGCAGGGCTCCAGGCAGGTCCCGGGGTTCCAAGCAGGTTCGGGTCTGGGACCTCCAGGTGAACTGGCCTCCCGCCCGGCGTCCTGTTGGGCCCCAGCACTTACCCGGCAGACTTGGGAAAGTCTCTGAGAAGTGCGCAGGCGGGGGCGGCGGGGGCTCTGCCACTTTCTCCCGGGCCGGCAGCAGCTCGTCGGCTTCCAGCCCGCCCTCCGGGCGTCGGCCGCCCTGCTCCGGGTTGTTTCGCGTGGCAGTGGCGGCAGCGGCGGCGGCGGCGAGCTCCGGGGGCCCGTAGAAGGCGTCGGGCGGCTCGGCGAAGCTGGGCAGCGCGGTGGTCAGCGCCACCATCGAGGGCACGGCCTGGCCCAGMCCCGCACAGAAGGTGTTGGTAAGGCGGCCGGCGAAGGAGGCGAGCGGGGCGAGGGGCGGGAGGCCGGCGGGCAGCGGCGCCGGGGCCAGCGCCTGCGGCAGCACGAGCGGCCGGTAGGGCATGAACATGGGGTAGCCGGTGTAGAGCAAGTGGCCAGAGCGCGGCGGCGGCGGCCCGATCAGGGAGTCGATGGAGAAGGCAGTGCCTGGGACCCCGCCGCCCCCGCCGCTGGCCCCGGGAGCGCCGCCGCCTCCGGCTCTCTGCATCGCGCCCGGAGCTGCGGCCGCCCCGGGGCGCTCCCCTCCGGGCGCCGCCGTGCGCCCCGCGGCTCGGGCGCCCCGCGCGGACACGCAGGGCTGGCTCCTGGCTCCCGGGCCGAGGTGGCGGCGGGGCGCGGGCTCGGCGCAGTGTGGCTCCGGCGCCGCGCTCCCTCTCTCATAAGGAGGGAGGGGGCGGGCGGGCGGGCTGGGGGTGTCGCCCTCCGGACTCATCCATCTTCCTCAAATTACGCTTCACTTCCTCCCTCCGCCCGCCGCCGCCGCGCCCGGCTCCAGCTCCCTCCGCACAGCCGGTTCCCAGCGGCCCGGCCGGCCCGGGACCCCGCCCGCCCCCAGCGGCCCAACCAACTATTATTAATGGAGATTGATGAGGCCGGACACGCCGCTTTGTGAAAGTTTGCGGCCGACGAGAAGGCGGCGGCAGCTGCTGGGCCGGTCCCCTCCCTCCAGCCAGCCTGCCCCCCACTCAGCCCACAGGCTCGGGCTCGGCCCGGCTCGGAGGGTGAGCGGGTGGCGGCCCGGAGTGGACCGGGCAGCGGGCCCGGGCGTGGATGCGGCGCGGGCGGCAGCCAGGAGGGCGCGCCGGAGGGGCGGGCAGAGCCCCAGCGCCCACACCCCGCCGCAGCCCGCCGCCCTGCGTCGGACCCTCGGCACGTCTCCCTGCGTCTGACGCCCCTTCTCCGGGCCCAGGAGCGCAGGACCTGATGGCTCCCAAGACCCGGCGCGCGGGCGGGACAGGACCTCTGCGGACAGAGCCGGGTTGAGGGCGGCGGGACGGCAGGGGGCGCGCTCGGCCCCAGCGACGCGCGCGCGGCTTAGGGCCACTTGTGTGGGGCCCTTTTCCTCCTCGGTCGCCTTCCCCACGCCATCGCACGCTCTCCCCCGATCTTCATTCTCTGGGCATTGGCCCTTCCCCTTCTTCCTCATTCTCTCCCCCGTGGCCAATTTCCCTTGGTCTCTTATTCTCATGTCTGGGTAATTTCCTCGAGTGCCCACACTGTGCCAGTACTTACCATTCCTTCACCTTTCCCCTCCACCTTTCTACCATCCTTTACATTCTTTTCCTTCCTCCTACTCTTCTTCCCTTCCCCGCCCTCTTTTTTATTCCTATTCCTCTCTTTATTTGATTAGCTCTTTCCCATCTTCATTCCCTATCCCAGTGCACCTCTTTTTTTTTTTTTTTTTTTCTCATTGCTTGCCTCTATCTGTACCTCCTGTCCGTAGGTCTGTCTGTTTCCCTCCCTCACTCTCGCCCTCTCTCTGCTATTAATTTCCCTGATTGGCTCCCCGGCTCCAGCGCCGCTGATGAGCCCTATTCATTCCCGGGCCTGACACTCTCCACCTGCCCTGGCTGATTGCTGGGGGCTGGCCCCAGGAGTGCTGATGAGCCCCAAGGGTCAGCAGCGCTAATTATCCGCTAATTGCGGATGACTCTGCTCACCTCCCCTGTTCTCAGACACAGAAATGGTAGGGCCTTTTACTGTCCCCCTCCTCCTGATTCCCAGCAGTAGAGTTGTCAATCTAGATGCAGAAGTCACAGGCACTTTTGCTCTATAAGCACCTCAGGTCAATTGGCAAGAAAGAGACTTGAGACAAGTCAACAGAAGAGAGACCTGATCTTCAGGACACAGAGCAAGCCTGGTCAGCTAAAATGAGTGTGGTTTGGTCACTAGGAAACTGTTATTCAGTTGGGGCCAGGGAGAACCAAGCTAGTTAAAATGAATAACAGAAAAGCCAGACAAGTTTATGAAAATGCAATTTAAGTAGGGCAAAGGGCTTAGCTTAGGTAAGAAGGAAAACCTAGGAAAATGAGCCCCAGAGTTGCCATACCAGGACAGAGCGGAGCAGGAGGGAACACTGGGTCTCACTGACATTTGTTCCAGTCAGGGGTGTTGTGTTGACCTAGTGAACACAGCTAATGTCAGGCTGATATATTTAAAATCAACACCCTGAAAGACACTATCACCACATGGCACAGAGGGAGAGGGCAGGACTCAAGAGTGGAGCTTTCTCTGGTTATGCCTTGATTGAGAATTCATCAAAAAGGTGAACAGAGATTATCCTTTCCATATAGTCTTGATCTACCTTGGGCTGCACATTAAACTCAAGGAAACTTCCAAGAGATGGGTCTGGGGGGAAGATGTCACCATAAAGAAGAGGTGCCTTAGCTTAGGCCCTGGGGAACTCCCAACTCACTACTACAGAACTGGAATTCATCCTGGTCTAAAGATAGTCTTCAGAACARCCCTTGGTTAAATTAACCAAGCACTTCGTGGTACTGATGTGGAAGACCAGACTTCACAAGTGTATTGTACTTAAAAAGTGAGAGGTCAAGTACTTGGTTTGATGGTTTTACAGTGTTGGATACATAATAGAGGCTTATTGACTTGATAAATTATGGAGGGAACTTTGGGCTACAATTACAGCAATTAAGGCTGTATGAGCAGATTCCATATCAATCAAATAAGGCATGGAGAAGAACCATTTCTTTAAAATAATTGAATTCACTTTTTTTTTGCAAAGGTAATAAAAATACATAGTACAAAATTCCAAAAGCTCAAAAGGCTATTTTTTTTTAAAGGGTATATATTGAACCATCTTCTTCCAACCAGTCCTGCCAAATAAAAGGCCATTTAAAGAAGCCTGTCACTCTTTGGTGATACAGAATCGACCATGCATCATCAAGGACTCAAGGGTAAAGACCCTATGGTCTGGGGCTGGGGATGAGGCTCAAGTGGTAGCGCRCTCGCCTGGCATGCGTACCGCCCGGGTTGGATCCTCAGCACCACATACAAACAAAGATGTTGTGTCTGCCAAAAACTAAAAAATAAATATTAAAAAATTCTCTCTCTCTCTCATATCTCTCTCTCTCTCTCTCTCTCTCTCTCTCTCTCTCTCTCTCTCTCTTAAAAAAAATAAAGACCTTATGGTCTTGAAGATGTATGTCATCTTGCTCATGCCAAATGTGTATTGCTCAGAACTGTATTAAGAAAACTGAACTCCTCGCTCAGGCTGGCAAAGAGAGTACAGGTTTACAGCTTGGTACCAACAAATCCCAGCAGATCACCAACTCTAAACTGAGACAAGTAAGACCTCAGGGACTTTGTATTGACTTGGTATGGTTCGTGTTTACTAGATACTGTGCTTTTTACACAATCAGTTCCTTTACCATGCTGAAGTCATGAAGTGTGACTTCCTAGTCCTTAACATTCAGTGGCAACTACTGCAGCCCACTCCCTCTTCCTCCCTTTCATTGAGGGTGAAGCTGAGGCCACATGATAAATGGAAAATGGCACTGGTGGAGTAAAAAGACCTGGAGTCAAGTTCTGACCCCTTATTGGGCCATGTGACCTTGGCCTCTCTTCACTTAACTTCTCCACGTGTGAGAGGGTGATTATTACATATGCAGAAAGCCAGGCTCATGTAAATAGAGAGAACATCATCCAAAATGAGTTCTTCCTGCACAAAACCAGATGAAGGACAGAGTGGTCCAGAACTCATGTTCCCCCAATCAGTAGCACTCCACAAACTGCTTCTAACTGTCCCATCAGTACCAAGGACAGATGCTGTCGCTATCCAGTCTGAGCAGAACTGGCTGCGTTCTTTAGAAGCAGAAAACTGTGGTTCTACTGCCTCCCCGAACAGTGTCGCTATTGTTGTCTACAACAGTTCTCAAAGCGCTGCTCTCATTGTCCACGTGCTCGACCTGGCCCATTCCCAGTACTCCACCCAATTGGGAAATGCTCCTGCGGATTTTAGTTTTGATATACCTTCTCCGCCTGTGCGTCAGACCTTATCATCTGGCCTCTCTTTCATATACTGGCAACGGCACTTAGGGGGCTAAAACCAAGCCAAGTGTTCTGAAGTCAAAAACCAACAGGTCCGTACGTCCAGCTCACTCATTGGCCGGACAGTCTTCCCACGGTGGGCAGCGTCGGGCCCTGTCCGCGGATACCCTCTAGTGGCAGCAGCGCGTAACTGCAGTAACCGTGAGGGAGGCGTGGAGTGCTCCACCGCCCCCTAGCGTTAGTCAGGAGACGCGCTGAGGGCAAAGGAAGAGACCAGGTGAGCCGTTCAAGCTTCTGGGTGTTTGGATGTGAGTGCATGGGTTGGGGCGGGGAAAGGAGTTTCAGGGTGGGGAGTAGAAGCTTTGCACACAAGTGTATTAAAGTCTAGTATGCATGCATGTAGGTTTGTGCATGGTTGTGCTCAGGTTCTCTGAGTGCTGTGTACCTATCTTGTTTAATGTGTGCTATATTTGTGAGCCCACGCATTCACACGCGGGTAGGTTGGTGGTGGGGAAGTCGGTGCCTCCAGTGCAGGGCGGAGTCCTCACGGAGGCGTGAAATTGGTTTGGAGCAAACACATTACGGAAAGCAATTACCGGGGAGAGGTTCTGGGCCCGCGGGACCAACAGCCAGAAGGCTGGGGAGCAAGCTCCCTGGCTTGCAAGTGTCTAGATGTCTAACCCCAGAAAGGACCTTCCTAACCGGCCAACGCCGCCGGTAGAGGTTAGGCACATCCCCCTCTAATGACCACTCCAGTTGTCCTTACCCCCACCCCTCTTAAAAAGGCATCCCACACCCAGCCCTGGCCAGAGGTGACAGGCACCACCCCTCCCCCTGAGGTCTTCCCACATCTCTACCCCATTCCCATCTTCCACCGCTTCCTCTTCTTGCCCTCAGCCCCTGCTCCCATAGTTATTTTGCCCTCCTTTCATTGCTTCTTATATTCTGACTAGTTCACACACTTGTTTCTTAGACCAGGTTGAAAATTCACTGAGGGCAGGATCACGTCTCATTCACAGCCTTATATCTAGTACCTAAAGCCTGGAGCTCAGGAAGCACAAAATGAACAGAGAGGATAGAACTGCAGAATCTCCATCAAATTTTATAAACGGGACTTTCAGGAAAACCAGGATGCCCTTTTTCACGTGCTAGTGACCCCACATTCACATGCCCATACCTGCCCTCATCCCTGCACTCCCGAGTCACAGATCCAGATGGCATGGGACCCAGCCACTCTGAGGTGTCTAACAGGCAGCTCCAGTTTAGTGTACCCAACACCCAGGTAACTAGTGCCATCACCCAGGTAATTAGTGCCACCACATCTGTTCAAATAAAAAAACTGGGGACATCCTGCTGGGGGCTTTCTCCAGCCCCATCTCCACTTCATCAGCAGGGCCCATCGGTTCTCAAAAGGACCCCAAATCTTACCCTGTCTCTCAAGCGGTCTCCCCAGCTCTCCATGGCCTCCCTTCCCCAGTCCCTAGCACCAGAGCAGCCCTAGGAATCTACATTCTCTCCTGCCACTCCCTTGCTCTTCCCCACCTTCTCACGCTGGCTCCTCCTCTGTCATTCAGATCATTCAGGTTCAACGTCACCTCCTCAAAGAGTGGGTTCCTGGTCACCCAGTCTAAAAGAGCTCCCAGTCACAGTCACATCACCCTTTTGCATTTCTCCCTAGCACTTATCACAAGTGAGATTTGTTCATGTTTGTTTTGTGTCCTGTGCCCACTGCAGGCACCCCTCACTGTCCAGGAGAAAACCTCTTGCTGACCTGCACGCAGCGAGGAGGGGTCCGTGGAGGTGCGGCCAGTCCGGGTCTCTACAGCGCCAGCACCTGAAGCCCAGGCCGCCTGGGCCACGCAGGGCTCCTGAGGCCAGGATCCGACTCCAGACCCACTGACCTCCACTCGGCTTCTCTTCTGCGCTCTCCACACCCTCGGGGAGGCGTAGGTGTCACTCAGATCCTCTGCCCAACCTCCCCCAACCCCCAGGCCCCGCCCCACCCTCTGGCCTCGCCCCACGCAGTCTGGCTCCCAGCAGTTGGCGGGAAAGTGGCTGAGCTCCATCGCGTGCGCACTCCGGAGGCCTGGGAACTGTATAGCGACCCTTGGCATCTGATTGGCTGCTCTGTGGCTTCCCGACAACTCCCCCTCCCTCCTGAGGGTGCGGGCCAGCTCCAGGCTGCTGGGCCCTCCTACAGGTTCTTACCACTCTGGGCTGCAATGACCCCTAGGGACTGTCCTTTCTCTTACAGATGCAGAAAAGTGAGCCCAGGGGGTAGGAGACTTGTGTTGCACCAAAGTTAATGGTAGAGCTAGGAGCACAGTGGAACCGGGCCCTGTTAACAGCGCGGCACTTTCGCTACCACACAACTGAATTTAAGGAAGGAGCAGAAAAGAGGCCGGGGCCAGGGGTGCATGGGTGCTCTGCGAAACACGGTATCGAGCAACAGGTAGACCCGTTCTGGTTCCCAAACCTGGGCCTTTTACTCTCACCTGAGCCATGGTCACTCTTCCACCCTGGGCCCACACGCATGTCCGCTCTTTCTTGGGTGGCTCTTCCTCACCTTGCCTCTTACTCAGCCAAGCCTTCCTTTACTGTCCTATCCCCTCTCTGCAAAACCTCCCTTGCACAGAGGCTCTGCCTACCCACAGCCATTAAGCCTTCAGGCCTCTTCTGACCCACTCACCTGGTGGCCATTTCCAGTGGACAACGGGCAGCTGCCTGAGACCCCTCAGCAGCTGGTGGATGCCAAAGGGAGAAGGTTAGGTGGGCTAGCACATGGGTGGATCCAGGGACCCTGCTAGTGCCCATCTTGAGGAGCCAGCAAGAGAAGGAAGGCTTATTGGAAAAGAATCAAACCACACAGCTACATCCCCAGCCCTTTTATTTTTATTTTGAGACAGGGCCTCGCTAAATTGCTGAGGCTGGTCTCGAACTTGCAGTCCTCCTGTGTCAGCCTTCCAAATTGCTGAGATTACAGGTGTGCACCACCACTGCCAGCTTGGCCTGGAGACTTTTAATGCACATCCAGGCTAGAGGGTGCTTGGAGAGGAGTGGCCCACTTGCTGTCTTCATCAGATGTCACTTGGATGTGTGATTTGTCTGCCCCTTTCAGGTGGGGATTGAAGCATCCACCCCTGCCTGTGGAGAGGGACATTCTGTTGACAGGGCTACCTGGCTGGCCTGAGTTCAAAGCGCCCCCTGCAGGCTGTGGCATGTGCTTCATGCTTTCCAAGGCAGTGCACACCTGGAAGGAGAGGTTTCCCTTCCCTGGGCCCCTCTCTTGCCTCCTACCCATCCCCTTCCCCCAAGCCCTGTGGCTGTCCCCAGAAACCAGGACTCACCTAGTAGAGCACATCCTCAAAGTCAAGCTGCAGGTAGCGGAGCAGGCGGGGTGGCAGTGGAAGGCGGGGCAGGGCGTGGGGCAGGCAGCCTGCCAGGTGGGCACGTAGCGCGCAGCGGCTCAGGTGCTGCAGTGACCGGGGCTGCCTCACCAGGGCGAAGAGGGAAGAGTAGAAGTGCTGGTGCTTCTGAGGACAGGAGGAGGGACTCAGCCAGGGCAGCCTTGGACAGGTGGCACCCACTTCTAACAGGGACAGCTGTCCTATAGATACCCACCTCTTTGAACTAACTGGGATAGGAGGGGACCTCTGGGTGACTTCTTGGGGACCAACAAGGTTGCCCTTTAGGGGTGGGAGTCTCTTGGGGCCAGGCTGAGTGATTCTGGCTAAAGGGTCCTGGAATCTGACCTTCAGAGTTTCAGGAGGCACCAGGCCCATGGCCTCCTCGGGAAGCTGCAGGACACTGTAGGTGTTCATCAGGACCTCGATGGTCCGTGGGGACGTGCACCAGCGCTCCAGGACCTGGAGGAGGCAGGGAAGGTCAGGTACCCATCAGTCTGTGCAGGATGGCCAAGAGCTCTTGTGGGTTGTATGTTATTCCCCGAAAAGATATATTGAAGTCCTAACTCCTGGTACCCATGAATGTGACCTTATTTGGAAATAGGGTCTTTCTAATGTAACCAAGTTAAAATGAGATCATTAGGATAGAAAGGAAAACAGAGGCACAGACATTCACAGAAAAGACCACGTGACAACCTACGCAGACATAGTGATGTGTCCACAAGCCAAGGAACACCAGGGATTGTGGGCAATCACAGTGTCCCCACCAGAACCTCCAGACCCTTCTGGGGACTGTGTGGGAATGGATCTGTTGCTTTGAACCACCTGGTTCTTACAACAGTCCCAGGAAACTAACACAACAGTTATTTCTTTCATTTAGGGGGTGTGTTGGGGATCGAACCCCGGACTTCTGTACATGCTAAGTGCATGTTCTACCACTGAGCTGCTACTCCGGCCTGTCAGCTAATGTGTTTTTTGGGGGAGAGGGTGCTGGGGATTGAACCCTGCCAGGGGCCTTAACCACTGAGCAACATCCCTGGCCCTTTTTTATATATTTTTAAATTAGAGACAAGTTCTTGCTGAGTTGCCTAGGACCTTGCTAAATTGCTGAGGCTGGCTTTGAACTTGCGATCCTCCTGCTTCAGCCTCCCAAGCCACTAGGATTATAGGCATGTGCCACCGTGCTCGGCTGTCAGCTAACATTTCTACTGTACGTAGTTTATGCCAGATATTTAGCATGTAGCATGTATGAACTCTTAATTCTTTTTTTTTTTTTTTTTTTTTTTTTTTTTTTTTTTTTTTTTTTCTCGGCGGACACAACATCTCTGTTGGTATGTGGTGCTGAGGATCGAACCCGGGCCGCACGCACGCCAGGCGAGCGCGCTACCGCTGAGCCACA